GCCGAGATATATTCCATTTTGAGCTGCGACATGCTTGTTCAGGCAGCTTTTTGTTACATTAGGTATATAGAATCACACTTTTAGTTCTTTCGAGGCACTTTTCTAATGGATTCACAATTGTTATGAAGAGAATAATAACATTTTTTTCTGCTATTAAATGGTCACGTTTCCATTTAAATGAATATTTCACAGTGAGTACAGATAATTTTGGCTTCTGTACAGCATTATTTAGTGAAGAAAATAGTAAAATCCAAGTCATATTTTGCGACAAAATTTGCTCCCATGGCAATGCTTAGGCCTACCTAGCCCTGTATACTATGTAGAATAGGCCTATCATTACCAGTCATTGAGATACTACTGTATGAATATTTGAACTCTCTGAATACCAACTTCATCAATTACGAACTCTGTTCAGATGCAGACGTAGGTAATAGGGAGATGTAATTGTGCAAGTAAAATGATAAACAAATCATGTTCATAAACAATAAACCAACATAAAAAATATGAAGAAAATACAAAACTTACGATTAATTTATATTATCATTCAACTTACTCCCTACAAAGAGTACTATTCAAATTATTTACCATATATTAAATGCAAATTAGAACAGGAGATGGTAAGCCAGTAAGGAAAAATAAACTTCAATTCTCTATGGAATAGGTCATTTTCAACACTGAATGAAAATCAGGAAAGTGAATATTTATCCCCAATGAATATGACTCAATCTATATAGAAATATTTGAACAAATCAAAAACACTATAATGCTGACTCAACAAAATATCAAAATAAAAAAAATGAATAAGATTAATGACTAAAACTTAATAATGATTTTTTAAAAAGTATATTTAAATATTTGGATAGCCTAAATATTTTGGAACATAAAAAACAATAGTAATAACAATTAAAATAATTTTAACATGTGAATTAATTCAAAAAATGCCAAACTCATAAGGAATGTCATGTTGGCATAAAGAAATGCCACTAATAATAGATTGTGATTTAAATTTTAGCTAACATTTTTAACTTGGCAATTTGAAATTTCATTATTTATTTATCTATCTGCTTGTTCTTTTGCCTAGCTTCCATTAATAGCCAAATTGATATTCCATACTCACTCAATGTTACATGTGTCACTGAATAAACAATCAATATTTGAATGAAGCTTATTTGTAGTCTCAGGATAGAATGCAAACTACATCAACTTGGCAATTTCAATGTTTTTGTGGTACTGTATATTTGTATGTTTATCACAAGTAAATAAAATTACAACAGAAATTGAAAAAGTTCATGTAGGACTATATTTATTACATAGTAATTATTTTTTATTGTATTTATTAACCATATAAGCAAATTGTAAATTATTAAGCCATGGCCTTGTACCCATTCGTCTAAGTAATATATCAATTAGATTACTTTACATTAGAACTAAATTATTATTAGAGATAAAAGAATTTGGTCTTCTAATTAAATCCATGTTGTTTTGGCTTCCTAACCCCGAAAAGACCAGGGTTGGAAAGACTTTTTACTTTTGCAGTTACTACATATGTACTCACCTGTAGAAGACCAATGCGTGGTCGAAAGCTTGTGATTTAATAAATTTGTTAGTCTGAAAAGTGCTGTTTGTCCTTCATTTACTGTTACATTGATTTAGGCCCTATCCCTGCCATTTTTTAAAGTCAGGCTCCGGAGGAAACAAATTTGTTGACATGACATTGATTTTTCTAAGACAGAAAAAGGTTGTTTGACGAAAAACTGGGGAACGGTGAATGAGATACAGATTTTTTAATATTTAAAAACTGGGGGAATAAGGTGTAAAAATGGGCAGTTATGCCCCTTTTTCCCCCAGTTTTTAAATATTAAAAAATCTGTATCTCATTCACCGTTCCCCAGTTTTTCGTCAAACAACTTTTTTCTGTCTTAGAAAAATCAGTTCTACAACATATCAAAAAATTGTTTTCCTCCGGAGCCTGACTTTAATCAGTTCAGGTGTGAAGAGGTCATAACCTACAAGTTGAGATGCTATCTAGAGACCTGCCAACGCACTCTATTCTGTCAAGTGTCACCCGATATTTAAACAAATCTCCAGTTCTCCCGATCGAATGTAATTTTCACCCGATTTCACAGGCCACCCCCCTCCCCAAAAATACTCCGATTTATGCATAATTTGATTGATTTGATCATTATTATTCAATGTATTCGCCGCCTGCTCCTTCACGGTGCAATAAACAAGCAACCATTTTCAATTCAAATTCAATTCACCAACGGCCAATAATTTGTAGTGACATGACTTTTTGGTATCTTGCATCATCTTTTAGTTAATTCTGGAAACCTCCAGATTTTTTGGTAACTCTCCAGAATTTTTAAGATTCTTAAAAAAATCTCCAGATTTTCATGACCCAAGGGTTGGCAGGTTAGATGTTTAAATTTCTAGGTAAAGCCACATTGAAAATTATTTTGTTTGTGCAGGAGATACATTGCAAACTAACAAAAAATTGCTTAGAAAATCACAAGCAAAATAGATGTGCGTAATAAATTAATTGTATATTGAGAATATTGAGACATAAACGAAGGCCAGACTGTACAGTAATAATGCCTGCGTGGGGAATATATTTTCCGTGCAAAAATTATGCCTAGAAATCCGTCCATGCATTTCGGAGAATATGAACCAATTTCTGCAAAGATTTTGCTGAAAACTGAGCTTTGACCTAATCTTAATATAACCAGTGTATTTTTATGCAGTAGTATGATTCTGCGCATCTATTTTCCTAGCAATTTTTCGCGCAAATTTGAGTTATTTTTTGAGGTATCATCTGCGCAATTAAAATACTTAACAGTATGGAGCAAATGCATAATTTTCTGCCTGAATTGGCCACTATTTACAAAATACGTGGAAGGATTCAATGTGCAGGCTACCTAGCCTAGCAGTATTAGAGAATTAACTTAGTAAGACTAAGAGTCAGCAGAGTGTCATCTAATTATTTATCCACCCAGACAAGAAACAGAACCTTTTTGGTGTAGGCCTAGGCCTAGGCTATTTTATTTTTAAAGGATTTTATAAAAAAATATGTAAATTAATGAGCTCATCTTCTTCAGCAACCAATGACTCTGTTTATTATGTTTTTCTTAATTATAGACAATTATATATATTCACCTTCAACTACATAAATTACTAAAATTGTAGTCGTAATACTTTGATGAAACTGAACCTAAGAAATGCTAGGCCTCCAATATTAAACCTGCAGCAGATACTTTTGACCGCAGCTGTCCCGAACCGATGCATGTTCTTGATGACGATTTGCTGGTCTCAGAACTGACGGCAAATACAATGTTTTGTATTGTATAAATACAC